GGCCATCCAGGTCTTTATGTCTTTAAGACATTCCTGCAGTTTAACTAATTGGTGTGTGTTATCTGGCTTCATGGACAGATAGAGCTGGGTATCATCTGCATAGCAGTGAAAATGTATGCTATGTCTTCTAATGATTTCTGCCTTATTTCTTTAAGAAGAAAAACTGCATTTTATGTTGACATTTTGTATTGTTATTATTTAAAGAGTACCATTTTGAAAATGTGCTTAAAGTACTTAAAATAGCACTTTATTTTTAAGTCTGCCCAATTTTGGCCAGGGATTATTTTTTTTTTTTTTGTTTCTCTTTTTTGAATTGAAATGCAGTTTAAATGTTTTTTCCCATAAATTAAAAGAGCTTGAGTTTACAATATTAATGTCCATGTCTATTATTTGATTCTGTCGCCCACTAAAACCCTTTTTAATTTAAAAATCATTTTCGCTTTGTGGCAAATTTTCATGTGCGATTAAATGTAATTAATCAAGATTAATTAATTACAAAGCCTCTAATTAATTAGAGGTTTTGTAATTAATTTAATAACCCCTAGTTATTACATTTAGTAGTATTATTTCTGTATGACAATATCTAAGGCAGGACAAGCAGGAGCAAAAAAAAAAAAAAAACAGAGAGAGAGAGTAGATAGGTGAAGATGTAATAAAAGGACAGAGTACAAATAGAAATGGATAACATATTACCAACCTTACTATCATGTGTACTGTACTAGCTCCTGGGAAGGGATCTCAAAACTGCAATGGAGGTGCAGACAGTAAGAGAAAACCACCACTGGGGTTTAAATTCCTGGGACTCTCCATCTTTGGATTTCAGAATTGAAGAAGCCTCTCGGATGAGAGGTCTTCAAGAAACACCGTAGACACTCAAGTATCTCATTAACAAAACACTTTGTTAACTGGAGAAAACAACCTTTCTTAGATTAACTAAACCAGCTCCACACACTAACTCAGATTAGAGTAAACCATCAAAACACTTTAATAACAAAACATGAGGTTGTGGGATTATAATATTATTTTATGCCATGTTAGACCCCTAATTAAAGTTTGTAAATTATTATGTAGTTTTAGTTTGCATTATTCTCCTGAATTAGAAGAAGGTGGTAACTATTGCATTTGTTAAACTGATTTGCATTACATTAGACTGCTGATTTATTGTG